TAAAATATTTATTTTATATAAAATAAAATAAAAATAGTACAGTACATTTTCTTTACAGTAAATTTAAACTTCTATAACTTTTTTATGCTTTAATTTTTTGAAATGATTTCACTTCTGCAATAATCTGCAGATTGTCTTTTTTACCAACCTTAGGTCTGTATTCAAAAGCATTTATGAATTATAACAATTTACATTTGAATAGTGCACTTTCACGTCTATGTTCAAAAAGGGGGGTGACAGTTAAGAGGTTCATTATATGGAGACAGGAAATGCTTGCCAAGTACAGAATGTGTACTGTTGGATATTATATACTTAATCCTATAAATGGATGAGTACAGATGAGCGTCTTGATTTTTTTTTTTTTTAATCTAAAAATAGTCTTAATACTCTTAAGTACATTAAAGTCTTTAGCACTTATTGAGAATTTTGGCCTTTGTTTAGTATGATGCCATTTTTTGTTGTGTTTTTTTATTATTATTATTCTTTAAAAAAAAAAAAAAAGAAAGAACTCCAAACATGAGTATAGTTGTTTTGAAATCTTCTTAGGGTACTAGATTGATATAGTAAGTCTGTACTGACAACATCAAGCCGCTACTCCATGCTGAGTAATTTTTGGAGTATGCCTGCCGAGGTTTTTTTTTGTTTTGGCATTGTCTGCTTAGCCAGAGGTCTCGGTTTTGGGCAGTTGTCAAGTTCTTCCTGTCTGTCTTTGTTTAAATCGAACTGGCATTTTGCTGGTCTCAGTGACTTCCTGATGAGCACTTTTGTACTCCCGACTTAACAGCTGTTGACGTATTTGGGCCGCAAGTCTGTCATATGTGTCCTGAGTTAAACCAGCTGAGGTCAGGTTTTAATCTGTAACATTGTAAAAGGATTACCTTCATAATTAATGCACAATCAGTCACCTCAAACAAACTGTTTCAGTACAGCACACAGATTTCGAGAACATAATATACATTTAAAGATTACTGCCTAGATCGCATTTCTGGTTTGGAAACAGTCTGGCTCTTGACTTTGATACTAATTTATCACAATTATTACATCCGTAATCTAATTAAGTGCTTCTAAGCTTCTTTGAGCGCTAATGAGGAAGTTGCATTTAATGAGAGACTGTCTTACAAAATGTAGTTTGGGGGTTTAATGTTTTGTGTGTGTGTGTATTTAAAAAAATAAGAATGATAATTTCCTCCTCCAGCACTTCCTTAGAACAAGTAAGTTCATACTTATGTAATGCTTGATTTTACAGAATTGAAAACCCACATAATGTTTATGCTTTGAACACAACACAGACACAAAAATTGTTAAGAAAGGGTTAGTCTGTACAAAAGCCCTCTTATTATGATTCACTGGAAAATTATGTCTCCAGGAAAGGTGCTGATTTTGCATGTATCTTTATATGTTTTATCATTAGGAGGGAATTTGTTGAGTTAATGGAAAAATACGGCTCCAGCAGTAGTACCAGCTCTGGATCAGACACTTCTGTTTCCACAGGTATTTTCCACTACGTCTATCATTTACTGCATTTCAGGAGTGAATGAATAATGTCTGATTTTGAGAACTTGCAGCAATTGCAGCCTACAGTTTTCCAACTTAGAAAAATACTTAGTTTGGGTCCTCCATAACATCAGTTTTCAACATAAAAAGCCATTTCTATCATTGTCTTTCTACATAAAGAGCCATTTTTACATCAAGCATGCATCAGAATAGACTTGAAACAATGTATGTGTATGTACATTCTGTTCAAAAGTTTGGGGTCAGTAAGGTTTTTTTTTTTTAATGCTTTAAATCCACAGGTGACAGTAAAGACATTTATAATGTTGCAAAATATTTCTATTTCACCTAAATGCTGTTCTTTTAAACTTTCTAATCATCAAAGAAGCCTGAAAAAAAATTATTAAAACAACACAAAATGTATTAATAAGTAGCACAACCATTTCAAATGTGATAATAAGAAATGTCATTTGGGTGCCAAATCAGACTGGAGTAATGGCTGTGGACATGATAGGAATAAATGACATTTTAAGATATATTAATAAAGAAAACTCTTATATTAAATTGTAATAATTTTCCGTAATATTACTGTTTTAAAAATGCATCATTGCTAAGCATAAAAGACTTCTTTCAAAAACATTAAAATCTTAAAAACCCCCAAACCTTTGAACAGTAGTGTATATACAAAATATATAACAAAATAAATAGGTAAGAAAAATAAATGCATATATAGGTTCTTTTTCTAAGTGTACTTTGGTATTGCTATAGTAGCATTCATTTGTGTCATTTGCAGAGACTGAAATTATTAAAAAGCAAAATTCTTGTCTTCAGGAAAGTTGACCGACACTGCCTCCTCCTCCTCATCTTCCAGATCAACCAGTCCTCTGCTTCTGAGCCCTAAAGACCCCAACCCAGTATACACCACTGCCTGCATTACCTCCCCATCTCCACAAGTCTGCACATGAGAACCAAACGACACACTGTAGATATAATTTAGATTTTATCCAGTGCTTTTGTGTGATCCTTTTGTGTATACTTCAAATAATTCTACTACCAAAACAAATGACAGAACCCAGCAGCTTTCTCACACTATTGCTGCTAATAGTGTACTAATTGAAGCGTCTGAGCCTGAAAACACCTGACCTAGCCTGAGAAATCCCACAAAAGATTAATTTATGGTTATTGGGAAAAAAACTAATCACCTCAGGAGCCATTGTTTCTGCTGTTGATCCAAGCCCTTATGTATACCTCTCTTTCCCCAGAGACTGCATGATTCAGTTGATATGTGTTGCCAAAGGGACAGGATTAGGCATGGTCATCAGGGGCGGAGCTAACCGTGCAGAGGGGCCAATGGTGTGTGTTCAGGAAATAATACAAGGAGGCGATTGCCAAAAGGTATTTTATTATTATAAAGTATTATTATAGTGGTCGACCGATATATCGGCCAATATTTGGCATTTCTTAAATATCGGCATCGGCCGATAAGTTTTCCTGATTGGCCGATGCGTTCATATTGTAACAAAATTAATTTTGTAGGGTGCCACAAATTTGTTAAAATTTCCAAAGGGTGCCGCGACTAAAGAAAGGTTGGGAAACACTGATCTAAAGTATAAGTATGTTTATTTAACACATTTACTTTTTTAATCCATTTTCAAATGATTTCAAATTTCTTAAACTTAATTAAAATAAATACAATTATATCGGCCATCGGCCACCCTGCTTTCCAAGATACCGGCATCGTCATCGGCATCGGCTGTCAAAAAACCAATATCGGTCGACCACTAATTATAATTATTATTTTGAAAAATGTTTAAATTTAAGATCATGTTTTTGAGTTTATGAAGAAAAACAAGTTAATTACCAATCAATCAATCAATCAATCAAATAAATAAAATATACCAGTTTTTTGTGTTGATTCTTGGTTAGTGAAACACCATAGTAGTTTGTGAATGAAGTGAAGTGAGACTAAGTGAAGTAGATTATGGTGAGGTGAAGTGAGGTAAATTAAGGTCAAGTTAAGGGAGGTAAATTAAAGTGAGGTGAAGTTCAGTAAATTACACCAATTTTTAAAGGTTTGTTTGGGGTCAGTAAGACTTTTTTTTTTTTAAGAAATTAATACTTTTATTGAGGAAGGATGCATTAACTTGATCAAAAATGACAGTAAATTACAATGTTACAAAAGATTTCTATTTCAGATAAATGCTGTTCTTTTGAACTTTCTATTCATCAAATAATTCTGAAAAAAAAAATGTATCACAGTTTCTGCAAAAATATGAAGCAGAACTACTGTTTTCAACATTGATAATAATAGGAAATGTTTCTGGCACACCAAATTAGTATATTAGAATGATTTCTGAAGGATCATGAAACACTTAAGACTGGAGTAATGACTACTGAAAAATCAACTTTGCCGTCACATCAATGAATTACACTTCAAAATAGAAAAGAGTTATTTTAAATGTTAGTAATATTCCACAATATTACTGTATTTTTAAACAGGTTTAAGTGAAGTAAATTGTAGTAATGTAAAGTGAAATTAAGTGAAGCCCATTAAGGTGAAGGGAATGTTTTTTTTTACTCCAGGATGGGAGACTAAAGGCTGGGGACCAGCTCATATCCATCGTACACACATTTACATATATATATATATATATATATATATATATATACTGTGTATATGTATATATATACTGTATATATGTGTGTGTGTGTGTGTGTGTGTGTATAAACACAACCTTTCAAGACAACCTTTGCAGAATGATAAGATAATGAAAATATGCTTAGTATCTTGTGATAGTTTGCTTTTGTCCAAGACAAATGCGTGTGGATGGTGACAGAATGTAAAGTCAGATGTTTACAAATGTCACTGTTTGACCCTACAGACCAGACCCTACAGTAGAGATAGCATTCATCAGACGAAGGTCTTCATCAGGCTCCAGCAGTGGACCCCACAGCCCTATCTCCCTTCAACCTCCCTGCAGTACAGCCCCCCAACTCAGGCCCGCTGGACTGGGGGGAACAACTCTGCCCGGAGGTTTCGTTCCTAAAATAGCCAACACCCCCAACTCTGGAAGCGAGACGTTGCCTTCTGTAGAACTTACTAAGGTGAGACATAAGACTGTGGCCGATTCCACTCTGGCAACAGAGTTTATTTATGCAGTAACTGTTCTTAAGCACTGCTTTAAAGAGTGTGGTTGATGTTTTCTTAAAGGCTTCTATTTGTGTCTTTCCTACAGGTACGACCAGCAACAAGAAAGCCTAATCTCAGCCCCGTGTCCTCACCTGACAGTGCCTGCACCGAAGTGGCCAACTCTGGTACTGCAAGCCTATATTCCCTTTATAGGAATCCCATAGGAGTTCCATACAAGTTCAACTCTATTGACAGCATTTTTGCCATTATGTTGATTAGTAAATATTGAATGTACTTCAGATATTGAATGTTGATGATCATAATTTAATTTTAAAAATCCAAAAGAAAAAAAATAATAGTTACAGTAAAGGTCTTGAAATATGTGGGGGCAAAGAGATACACATTAAAATACATATAATACAATATGATCGTCTTAAAAATGGGTTAAAAACAGTTTCTTTAAACAAAATATTATTTATTTCTTTTTGATTTTGGGGTCAACTAATCATATTTGTGAGAATCACCTGTTAAATTTTTATAGTGGGAACAAGAGATTAAAAAAGCGATGTGAACAACACCATTTTAATATTTATCTAGCTATAAAAACAAAACTCATATAACTGTAACTAAATTATACATGCAATAGAACTTTTTACTTAGTTCTGCTTAGAAATGTAGTCCCAACATAAAAATGGCAATAAAGAAAACATTACAGCTCAAATAATAGATAATCATTCTGATATCTGCAAATATTTTATTTGCTGATATTTACTTTTAACAGTGTTACTAATATTAGTATTTCTAAAGATCACCTTTTCAAGGAATGTTAGAGTAAATGATAGAGGATAGATGATCATACACAATTAAATTAGCTATCCAATACATAAATAATGCTTTTTTTTTTTTTTTTTTTTTTTTTTTTTTTTTTTTAAACTGAATGAAAGTACCACAAATACAAGATTGTATGTCCCTGCTCTTCCATTGTAAGTGCTTTACTGTAACTGATTTTTGCTTCCAAAAAAAGTCAAAATTAAATGTACTCAAGTAAAAGTAAAAGTACACAATTTTTAAACTACTCAAAAAAGTACAATTACTGATAAAAACTACTTAATTACTGTAACGTGAGTATTTGTAATTCGTTACTTCACACCCCTGATTGAACCTAAAACATTCCTTTAAACCAACCATGCATGCTCCTATTATTATTCAAAGATGGCATAGCACTGTCTGTGGAGCCTTTCACATTCTGATGCATTGTGAATGGCATTTTGCCTTTGAGCAACCTGAAACGCATTGATAAGGAGCATTTTGGCATAACCTGGATTAGGCTACCTGTTCGGCAGACATGTGCTGATGATGAGATGCTGTGTTTGTAACTCAAAATAATCCAGCTGGCATGGTTCTGAAAATGGATATTACTATCAACATGACACAAAACTCCAGGTGAAATAGAGGATACCGAATTCTGTTCAGGACAGGGTTTCATTTCATTGACGAGCACTTTTAATAAAGCTCCTTTGAGCTGCGATTTAAAACATTTTAAACACCAGCTGTACTGAACGAGGAACATGAAATATGAAGTAAAGAAAATTACTGTTTCCAAATGTTTTGGTATGTACTCAAGACTAAACTCTGACCTGAGAAGAGAGACTAGTGAGAACTTATTTAAAAAAACATTTGAAAAGAAATCTTAAAGTTCCAACACTTTTGAACAATGGTGTTACTTAAGTGTCCAGATAATTTCTTGGGCTACTTTGAGTCAACAATTTAAACTTTCATTTCTTCAAAACATCTATCCTCCACTCCCAGCTTCGAACCCAAGCCCGAGAAAATAGAGCAGGTCTCCATAATCATATCCTCTCAATTAGAGAATAACTATTTCTGTCACAATACAGAATTACAGAAACATCTTGTGTTTACAGCAAGGTCAAATGCTGGGCGTCCCCCCAGCGGGCTCTAACGATTAGTTACCCATCAGTCTCAGTACTGTATTGATCTTTTACAGTTTTACTATCATGTGTGGAGGGAGTTAATCCCGCTGTTGAACAATATGTGCAGTTAGCGTGCTGCCCCGTATCACGCCTCCTGTGCTATTATGGGAAAATCAATAGAGACTGCATGTGCCACAGCTTCATTGTATTAAATCACACTGGACTAAAGCACAGTCTGTAGATTACAGAAAACAATGTAGAGGATGAACAATTTTTTTAATAGATTTTAACTCCAGAAGCACATTTTAAAGTAAATATGTATTATATGTATTTATATAATTGTGTGAAAATAAGTATTTATAGTTTTATTGATTTGTTTATTTAGTGGATACATGTATTAAAATAAAAGTCACATTTAAATGACACTAAATGCATGAAATATATTATTATTAATTGTATTATATTTTATACATACTGTAGACATTGAAGCGAGTGTGTGTCTGTGTGTGTGTGAGAGAGCGAGCAAAGCAGTGACCACGTTACACTGGTGTAATGAAATGTTCTAAAAGGGGGGCTGTTCTGTCCACAGGCACTGGAGGTGCTGGGATTGAAGCCTACTGAGTCTCAGGTCCTGACACTGAGAGAAAGGCTGCGTTTGAGCCCAGGAGGGACAGTGGCTTATGGAGGTGAGAAAAAATCCGGTCAATCTCCATTATGTCGTAGTTGTTTATGTACTGATGTCTTTCTTTTTTTACCTCTCCTTACTCATGCAGTACATTATTCTAGCTTTATACCTCAAGCGTGTGACGGAAATGTTACGCCCCTTACCATACTGTGTTGCCGTCTCCCGGCACGGCGAGACAAAGCCAATAAAGCCCATTGCAAACGAGGCATTTGTTGCATCCAGTGGGGACATAATTACTGATTATAACGACTTATACTGTGTTTTTAGGCATTGCGTTGCGTATCGCGCCGCGTAAACATAAAACCATGTCTGCATTTGTGATCGGAGAAACAACAAACAACACGTGCTACTCTACACTGCTCAAAACTCGTGTTTGAATCATCAGTGGCAAATTCTTTAAATAT